TTAGACTAAAAATCACTGCCATGTTTCCAGCTTGGATCAGGCCTAGTGAGCTGGGGTGGACTCCCCTGTTAACACATTACTTCAGATTGGCTGAACAGACCACAGGCTCGTTGACCTTCAACTGCACTGCTGCCACAACTGCAGGGACAATCTACTGCAGAGCTGCAGCTAAAACACTGAGTATGACAAAAACTGCTGTAACAAACATGGGCTGCAATCTCTTGTTACACATGTAAGTGGTCATTTCATGTCATCTCTCACCCCACTTTACTCAGAAATTGAATATTTTGTGGGTTCCTTTAAAAAAGCAGTTTAGAATCAGTGCAGCCTAAAACAATACTTTAATCTTGTCACAGTGTTTTAAAGAATCACCTCTCTTGGTCTTTGTTACTGGAAGAAGTGCTCATCCTGTTTGTTAGTATCCGCACCCCCTTCTTTTCCAGATATGGAGTTCGGCACACAACGAGTCAGACCACCCAATGACTAGAACACGTTCAGACACCCTGCAGAACCGATCTCAGCCAACCTCCCTCCCCTCTACTGGAACAAGCTGGCCTCCCTCTCATTCCCTCTGTTTTCTCTGTTGTTTCAGCAGCGTCAGAGCCACTTGAGGGGTTGAGTGAGAACTGAGTGAAAGCTGGAAAGCCAAAAAGAGCATGCCTTGACCGCTGACATCCAGGCAGAACCTGCCAGGGTTTGTCAGAGGTTAAATAGGCCAGTGCACAGCTACCAAATCTGTAAACTGTAAAAAATCAAATGACATGAAGACAAAGTTTTCTTTTACATAAAAATAAGGGTTATAGTAGATACATTTAATGGTGATAATGAATATTAAACCCAGTTAAAGGTAACTGTTGTATAAGGTTAATTTTATTATTTTGCCTGCATGGAAGAAGCTGGTGTGAAAGTGCCAAATGAATTTGTGCTGCACACGAGACATCAACTTAAAAAACCCCAAAAAACCATCAATGGCTCGATTGCTTTGCAGATGACTGGCATGCTACTGAAACCTACTGCACACAGACATGAGCCAAAAACTGATGGTAAGAGAGGCAATGGTAGAAAACGGAAAAAGAAGACAAGAGAAAGTGACAGTATCAGGGCCACCCACAGAAAAAGGGAGGTTTGTTTACATTCTGCTCACTCAAACTCACCGGACTCTGACCTTATTCCCTAAAGCATTCCATCTTACTTTCACCCATATTATTGCTTAGAGGTTTATCAGGTCAGAGCACGAGAGGAGACGCACCAAACAAGAAAAATATACAACAGAACCTGATTATTAGCTGTGCAAAGCAAACACACTGAGGATCAACAGGATGTTTTTTTGTTCTTTAAGTGGGTGCGTGTGTGTGGTGCTCTCTAGCACCAGAAACACTTACATCCTAGGATAACACAACTAACATCACAGGACATCAAAAATAGCAACATGCAACAGTCACCGCTTGTATATACAATGAGCTGCATTTCTGAGACAAAGACACCCTCACACCCCTATTCAGTGTGAGTATTCACTAAGAGAGCGCATGGCAGAGTAGCAACGTTTCAGCTTTAAGGTAACAGGTACTTAAAGTTGTCCGCAAACAAACAAATTCAAGCGCAAGCAAAGCATAAAGGCATGAACAGGCATAGCTTTAGCACCCACATATTTCTTCAAGGATGAATAAACAGAAACCCCATCAGCATTATTTATTTTTCACCCTACCATAGAATCAATAACAAGAGTGTGATGCAATTTAAAGCGCTACCTCAAAGAGAACCGTAAAATACCAGCTAAATAAGTCTCTGGGCTGTGTGATTTGGACAGCTGCCAAAACTCTAGATGTACAAGATAATTCCCCATCAGTGGTACCAATGCTGACACTTCATTAAGGCTCAGTCGACTCGCATAAACTCTTCACTGAACCCATTCATCTAGCAGCGCCGTAGGCAAGGATTGATGTGAACTGTCGGCAGAGAGTACAACAGGAAGAGCTGTATTCTAATCTCAATTGTGGAGGGTTATATGGAAGTACTTTTTGACAGCCCAGAACCATAGACTGACATGGGAGATATATGAAGAGGTAAGGTGTTGCACAACACTGCTAAAGACACACAAGGTTTGCACTTCCGCCTGCTTGCATTTGTGAGAACTGAAATTAACTTTAGCTAAGAGCTAAGGTAACCTGGAAATTCATAGCATTGCAAGCAGTGAAAGTACTTCAGAAAGAAAGGCTGATCATCTGATGCAATCAGAATCTGTTTCAGTAGACAGCAATTTCTGCCACTCACAGCAAATGTCTTTCAGGTTCTCGCTTTTGCAAAGTTAGCTGTAAAAAGCCCACCAGCAGTATCATCTACAGTGAATCTAACTTAATTCCTGGTATCTGTAATATATGTACAAAGAGTTATACTAATTGTTAATTTAAATTTAGTGGCAAAATCAGAAGTTCGGAAACACAGTGGAAAGTAACACACACATACTGTACGCACAGACTTGCAGACACTCCTGTGAAATAAGTGTAGTCTATTGTGTTGTAGATCCATGGGGGATTATCCACCTCACAATAAATGCAGACCGAATTAATCCAGCTGACAGTGGCCACAACAGAAACTGGATGAACTAAAATTAACCTTGTCTGAGAAGTTTAATTGTGCCCTTTGCACGCCATTAGACACCCAAGTAACAGCCTGCAACACTTTTGTCCACTGCTTATCACAGATGGAGCGTGAGTGCGGCGGCCTTTCTCTGCCATAGCTACAAAGTACCTTCAGCTTTGGACTCGGACTATGATTTGTTTTTAGAGGAGCTTGTATTAAGATTCACTTGGACTTCCTTCTTGGCTCTGTCAAAACCAGCACTGGAGCACTTACTGTGTTTAATACTTACATAAAATATTTATTTTTCTTCCACTTTTGTCATGGTCATTCTGCTCCAGGAGTAACAATACCAATGGGATATGCTGGACTCTTGGGGACTCTTGGGTTCACGATTGTGCTTTCACAATGACATGTAACACACGTTGTTATTAATGTTTCATTAACATTTATTAAGCAGACAAGTGGAATTTTCCACCACAGGCAGGTGAAATCTTAAACATCGAAAAAATACTTTCGTCTTTGGGAAACGCCAATCATGTTAGGATGTGCTTAATCTCAGGCAAACAAGCTAACACATGCTGGCACCACTGTATATATGGAGGTGGGAGCTGCATGTGTACAAACAAGCATGCGCGGTACACATGTGCACGTGCATACATAGACCTGTGCTTGATCCTGTTGATCCTGTTTGATAAGAGGACTCTAAATTAAACAGGGGGTGTTGGTTGATGTGAAGGAATAATGACAGCATTTACTCCACTTTCTCTCCATTATTTTTCCCTCTGGAAGTCCTGAAAGTAAAGCTCTTTAGTGACTACACAACACAATTAGACAGACTAATTACCCCCTCCATACCACCCATTCCTTACACACACTGACAGGCTGGGGCAGGCAAGTGATTTCTGCCTGCCTACAGGCTTCTCAGGGACAAGGACTATAATATTGTGCGCTGATTGCACTTCATTTCAGGCAGTTTAGCTGATGCTCTGTCCATTAGTCTTGCAAACCTCTAGTGATATGAAGGATGAGGGTCAGAACTGCAGTGCACTTGCAACAAATCTGTCACAGTAGACCTTGTTGTTTATGGAACACTGAATAAACATGAACAAGAAAAGAACATGTGAAAATATAGATAGAAAGATGTGGGAAACCTGGAGAAATTTCCAAAGCATAAAAAGTAATGGACATTGGCACAAATTAAAATCAACTTCTAAATTCATCTTCTTCAATCTCCAGTCAAAAACAAACAGTCACTTATTGGAGCAAGCGGGAGTCAAGCTGTGTTAACGAGCTGAAAGTCAAGCTGAAGTTGCCGGTTCAGAAGCAGGTTAATGATGAAACACCCCCCTCCCTACCTGTTTCACAGTCACCCTGCAGGTGACTTCAACTCAATCACAGACACACTGGGAGGATTTAAATGCAGAAGGCGCACTGACCCCTGCTTTAATGCCTTTTGCCCACATTTCTTCAAGATCACGAGGAAGATCAGCAGTTTTGTTCAGTATCAGAGAAAAAAAGATTCACACTTAAGGAGTCACTTTTTTGTCTGTCAGGAAATCATGTAGCGGTAAAAAGAATCAAAAGCCGGTGCAGGGAGGGAGAGAGATCAACTAGCTAAACAGGAAAGTTTCACTTTGCGCTCACACAGCTCTGGATGTGGGATGGGCTGAGGCTCTGCTGAAGCTATTTGGCGGGGAGTTTTGAAAACTGCTTCCTTCTCAGGATACACCAGCCCCACCTTCACTGTTCCAGTTTGAGCCAAACATTTTTGCAAAAGGGAAAGAACTTGGAACAGCCTTGATCTTGCAGGGTGAAGCACTTAACAAGACTATCTGAACCTATTATTCATCTACAGCACTTTGATGCAGCTGGACGTATTAAGAATATGCTCTGAGAGCAGGGGGACAGCACCAGTAATCTATCTGAATTATTATCCTGCATGAGCGTGTACACACAAACCATGTTCCTCTAATCCTCTGGCCTACTACAGTAGCTTATGTCTCCATAGACGAGCTGATCAGGAATTTCATATTTCTCGACAAAATGCACATACAAATGCCTGAATACCTACATTTCTCGTCCGCTACTAACACACCTTACACACACACACACACACACACACACACATTTTTAAAGTGTATGGAAACTAAATGGGCAGCAGAATGAGGTAATACACTGCCGGCAATACATTACTCATCCAGTTTCCCTTCTTAGTTGATGACCCAAAGCCGGCAAAATCATCCCACCAGCGCACACATGATTCACTGCTGTGTGCTTGAGCTCTGTTTCAAGGCTTGAATGACACCTGCTCAGAGAGCAAAGCAGCCACAGAGAGACAGTCTCTTCTCTGACACCTGTGTCTCCGAGTGTCACTACAACCTGCACACATAGCTGCTAACAGTCTGTCCATCTCCACTAACCTTGCAGATCTTGCTCTCCTCCGTCTCGGCTTTGGACTTCCCTTCTGGGCTCTTCTCTTGCTTGTAATCAGACTTGACTGACAGCTGGCATGAGAGCCCCGGGGTACCTTCGTTTGTCCTGAGTTCCTGCTGTCGGGCCATGTAGCCCTGCGAGGTGGCTGCTCTGACCGCGCTAGGGATGGGGAGAGCGGTGTGCACTGGCTTCGTGCCCACTGCAGAGGGTTGCCTAAGCTTGGAAGCTACGCCAACTACCGGCATGGCAACAAAAATAATAACAGACAAGTAGAAGACAGGTTAAAAAAGAAGAAGAAGATGAAAGGGAAGCAAATCTGCAGTGTCTCCTTCTGATGTGTGGCCCACGACGGGAAGGACAAACAAAAAAAAGAAAATAAAAAATAAAAAAAAACAGCAGTTGCCTCTCAGACCGAGAGGAAAGCAACTGCGCTCATTCTGTAGCCTACAGCCAGCAGGACTCACAGAAACTGAGAAGGCTTCTCCTTCCTCTCGTTCACTCCCTCCTCCTTCTCCTCCCACAAGCAACTACATTCCCTCCTCTTCCCCTGCACTCTCTCTCTCTCTGTCAGAAGTGTACCACAAAGTCAGCCAAAACTGTTCAAGGGGGCGTGAACTCCTCTGGAAGATATAACCACCACTCAGCAAAATGGTGATTACAGAGACCTGGCTGAGCGTGCATGTGCGCTCCCAGAGAGAACTGTCAAGACAGCTCTCTCTCGCTCTGTCCCCCCCACCATCCTCTGACTCTCTGAAGCCAATAAATAGACTTTCTCTCTGTCAACATGTGGAGCTGGCCCTTCCTTTGATGAGAAAAATAGTAAAACAAACAAACGTTATGATTTTTTGGTGGAATAAAAAGAGTTATACACAATGAGGAAATCCAACAGAGAGAAAGAAATTGATTATTTCTGTACTAACAGTTGTAAGAAAAAAAAAAAAATTTTTTAAAACAGATTTTTGGCCAGGTACCACTTAACTGTTGCTACTCAGCTGCTTTATACTGAGAAAGAAGTGGACTCTCTTTCTCCCACAGCTGCTCAGCCACATTCACTGTTTCCCTTTCTCTTTGGGCTATCTGAGTGTACTCATTTTACAAGGTGTGAGACATTTGTCAGCAGTGGCAAGAAACCTTTGGTTACAAGCAGAAACAGACACTGACATGTGGGCTGCGCTAAACAGTGTTAGGTACCGGGTAACTGTTTTAGGCACTTAAAATAGAGGACAACGAACAGCAGGGCCAGTCTTTGCCTTTAAAACAGCACCAATCTCCTTGCAGTTCAGAACAGCTTTGAAAACTTGGTTATTTCTGCCCTTTTATTCAGTCACTGATTGGCAGATATTATCTGCCACAATGCAAAACATATGATTATGAGTGTTGGGCCAGTACATGTCAACTACATGAAACAAACCTGACTAAAATAACTGATGATGGCTCTACAGAAACAGATTTAAAGTTAATATTATTATTACTCTTTTGTAAAAACAGATCAAATAAAACTGATGTAGGACGGCAACAGAAAAGTTGCAATGCTGCTCCAGATGCCACACAGCTGGTTTTAAGCACTGTGAAACAAGAAACAGGCTCCTTCAGTGTCCAGTGTGGTGGAGAACGACTGACTCCACCATTTAGAAAAACTAATGTTTTTACTGTATTTGGTGTGTGTTTCTCTATAATAATAATAATAATAATAATAATAATAATAATAATAATGGATTGCATTTATATAGCGCTTTTCGGGGCCCTCAAAGCGCTTTACTATGACCATTGTCCTCTTGCGAAATGGATTTCAGCCACACTTTAGTGTTACCGTTGATTTAGTCTGTAACATTACAGAAATGAGTAAGGGCAGGGTTAATGCAGGACAGACATAAATCTGTGTGAGAGAAATTCTTCAAAGACTACGAACGCATGTAGTTTTGGTCTGTATGTGCCTCCATTTGGACTGCGTGACACAATATGACATGGAGTTTTTTTCTCCCCTTGTTGCTGAAGGATCTCTGCTCTGTGAGACACATAAAAGGGAGTGAAAGTTTTATGTGGAAAGGCTGCGTCTGGTTCAGTTTAGAGAGGCGAGGAGATGCGCTGCAGTCAGAGGGGCACATTGCGGTGTCATGGCTAACCGGAACTTTTTAACACGGCATCGTCCAATAAAAAGGGCCGGGAAAGTGAGGAAATGCAAACACAGGCCACAAATGTGACCTTTTCACAAAAATTACAACATGTCAAAAGCTACCTTTCTCCAGCAGAGCTGCAGACTCCATACACTCCCTTTTTGCTTGGTGAACAATAGCGAATTTGAGGGTAGGAATTTACTAAAAATGGCCTGATTATTTTTACACACCCTTTTTTCCTCTTCAGTACTTTTGACAGTCAATCGCCTTGCCTAATAGGGATGCTGCTTCCCCCAGCTCAGAATAGCACCAGCTACTCCAACATGTTTTTAATCATGCACCAGGGGCTGTCATGACAAGCCTGAAACAACAGGATACCACGTGAATGAGTGGCGTAAGTCCAAGTCTAGACTCCAACTGCTGCTGCCTGCCAGGTTGCACGAATCGGAGCGCATCTGGCAGGTATCCAACTCTCCAGGACAGACTGGAACTGTCAGGGAATCCGTATCTGATGAGGTCTCTTCACAGGGGTGCTGAAACAAGCCCAAATGAAACCTCGGTCAAGTCTTAAGAAAACCTCTCACTTCCTTCTGGTTCTTGTTGGTTTCTGGAGGTAATCACCTTGCACTGCAAAATCATTTCCCAGTGAGAGAAAGCTATTCAGGTTCCTACAGGTAAAAGAACTGCTGCTGTAGTGCTGAATGTTCCGTGTTTACCAAACGTGAAAGCTCCCAAAGTCAACATGAGCAAAGCAGATCTCAGGTTAACACAAACCCATCCAGGAAGGTCAGCATCCTTATGTTTGGGTACCAGTGGCAACCACTTCTGTAAAAACAGTGTAACAGCCAACTTTGTCAAGGTTGAAAGGGGAAGAGGGGAATCTAAAGTGATGAATGATTAATATTATTAAAAAGATGAGTCTTCTTATGCTGCAATTTATGTGCTAAACCTTTGATGACTTGGTGTTTCTTAACTTTATTTAAAGACCACATTCATCCGAATTTTAAATGCCAAGTCCAAACTCAAAGAACCCACACCACAATACCCATTATTTATCAGGACCAAAACATGGTATCAAAGAAAGATCCTTTTCCACATGTTAGATGACCGCACAAATTCCTCAACATTTAAGCTCCATGGGCTTTTCTGAGAAGCCCCCGCTTCAATAACTCCCAGAAAATAAGCCAAACAACAACATAAAACCATGTGTCCATCCTGATGTGTATCAAAAGTCCAGGCAGCTGGTGCTGTAGCATCTCTGTACTTGGCACACATTTGGCCCCTTAGCACCAAATATGAATGACTAGTATAGCTGACAATGTCCCAAATGCAAGATTCACAGACTATCGTGTACGCTCGTCTACTCAAGGTGTCACGCGAAATCTCCAGAGAGGAGGCAGACGGTGGAGGTCGCAGACAAGGAGGGAGTGATGAAAGCTTGGAGGTTGACTGTACCAACCATCTCTACACAGTGCATGCGACAGCTAAAAGCAGTATCATGCTATTATCCCACACTCGTTGCTCTCAAACAGGCAATAACCTGGTGCTGTGTGCAGTTGGGTGCACTCAGCCCCTCTTGGCAATAACTGTTCTTTTACATAAAAATTCACTTTTTTAACAGTTGATGTTTAGACCTACACTTCTAGCTGGAGATTGATGCTGATCTTGTCAACATTCAGGTCAAAATTTGAGTGAACTGACTACTGCTGGAAAACAAAATAAGGGTGGCAGCATTTTAGTCAGTAAGAATAATATATAGTTCTGAGTTATGGAATAATTAATGACATGTGTTTATTATCTCTTTGAGGAAATGGGTGGATGGCTAACCAATACTGATTGTTGTACGTGGTTTAGAGGAAAGATACCACCCACGGTCACATAACGTCAGCACTGAAGTTGTGCTATAGCTGTGAAAACAAACACGCCGGGGCACTAGAGATAAGAGGGGTCAAACACCTTCCTACCAACCCAGCATACACGCACACACAGTTTAAATACAACTCCCCCAGGGAGGCTAGATAGATAGTCACGCACCTGGTGCTGTCAGCACTCTCAATGCTATCAGTCAACCGCACATGAGACAACATGGAAAATAAAACAAACACATGCTGGCACACACACACACACACACACACAACAAAGTATGTCGCTGAACATATGGTGGCATCCATAGTGTCTTAATGAACGGCATGTGCCATTAATGTACATCAAGGGTCAGCCAGGTAGAAATAAACACGCATTTGCTTTCTCTCACTGCTTAAACATTTACAAATAGATTCCTGCTCCTCAATCAACCTTTGGCTTCTCCGCAGGCAACCATCCAAGCAAAAAAAGCATGCATTCAACTAAAAACAATCGGGCATCATGGGAAAACTTGTTTCCCACAGGTCTTCATATTCAGTTGTGAATTGCTGCTTGGATATAATGTTTTCAATAAGTTTTGAATATGAACCCCAGATGTAAACGAAGTGGCTCTGCGACTATGTGCCAAACAGCTCTCAACTAGATTGTGAGTCCAAATGTATGACCTTCATTATCATGTGAACATTTTTTTTTAATTGTATTGAACCTACGTACTCAAAATAAACAGAATGTAATTCAATTCAATTTTATTTATAGGCGCCAATTATTGGAAGGTAAAGACCGTATAATAATACAATGAAAACCCCAACACCTTTGCCAAGCACTTGGTGATAGTGGAAAGGAAAAACTCCTCTTTAACAGGAAGAAACCTCTGACAGAACCAGGCTCTGCTGTGAGCGGTTGGCGGTGAGGGGAGGAAGAACAAAACAACGTATCATTAGTGTCGCTTTGACAGTGCATCTTATTTCACTTGCTTTTGAGTGAAAAAGAGTCATTTGCAACTACAGCTGTGAGATGTATTCATGAAAATCTTTCCTCTTCAAATGCAAAACGTATCTTAGAAATACACTTAATGTTCTATAGAATAGAAAACTACTTTTCTTGGATACTGGATGGCAAAGACCTGCATTTTGTTGCTCGTCAGCTCCTTCTGATTGTTCAAGGAAACAACATCTTTGATGAATTTCAGTCAAAACCATAGCACTAAAATAGCTTAGCGGTTATAATTATTACTACTGATATTCTTATGAACTTGGGTAAGGGTGAACCTTCCATTTTAGCCCTGCTTGAAATATCTGCAGCCTTCGATATCGATGATCATGCAAGTTTTATTAGCAGACAGCAAATCTGGGTTTTCTTTATACTTATGTAACAGATACTTCAGAATTCATTAATCAATGCATGTCCTCATCTGCACCCCTTGTATGTGGATTCCCCAGAGCTCAATCCTTGAACCAA